TTTGCCTTCCCCAGGACTTGTTTATAAGCAGGGAAAGCAGTTGTGCTTAATTCTTCTCTCAGGCTCCTGCCTGCACTGCCTGCTCCTTCCCAATCGCGTTTGTTAATCTCTTAAATTGTTTTAAAACAACAACAACAAAATAATGGCATTAGCGGTGCAAAATCCCCCGTGAAATCACCAACCCAGCCCCGCTTCCCTCTCTAAAATCTGAACATTTCAAACTGTTTTATCATTTGCTGGTGAATTATATTGTACCATCGTGAGCAGAGGAAAAGAATTTTCTGAATGTATTTCCTTTAATAAGCTATTAAGACCTTGTACTGCTAATTAAACTATTAATTAGACGTCTTATCATTCCTAAACACGTTAGCACGTTGCCAAAGCAGCAATGAGCCTCTGGGGCAGGCAGGAGATAAGGAAAGAAGGAAGATGCAAACATGAAGATTTAAAAAATAGGAAGGGAAAAAAAAAATCAAAAGAACCAGAAACAGCAAATAAATAACTCAGTCAGAAGGGTTATGTATTGCTTAATTTATAGGAATAAAAAATAAGTAACTTGAGAAAGAATTTCCTACGTAGGAGCCCTTGGAGCATCTGTGCCTTACACAGGAGAAAAAGGGACAGGACTTTTAAAACCTTTGTTTTTCTGCAGTCAGAGCAGTGGAACCAGAAGTGGAATCCATCTTCCCCAACGCCAGAAGTTTGCCATTAGAAAATTAACAGAAAAAACTATTCCAAAATTGTGGGGTTTTCCTTCTCCAGAAGAAAAACACGAAGAATTTTCAACAGGAAGATCTTAACTCCGAGGAATTTCTGCATCTGGCTCCACACCGACCCACAAACAGCACCCCAGGCTCACCCATCCTCGTCTTTTTCAAGCACACGAGAAGTGCCTGTAATGCAAAGAGCTGTAAATAAATATTTATTTATTTTGAGGGGAGATGGAAAAGCCCTACACAGATGCTTTCTTTTACCTGGAAAGCAAAGACAGAATCATGGAAGCATTAAGGCTGGAAAAGATCTCCAAAATCAAGTCCAGCCACAAATCCAGCGCTGCCAGGTCCACCATCATGGCTGGAAAAGGAGGAAAAAAACCAAAATGAGCTTGATCATCACCCTTTTCCAGCTCTGGGAAATGCCTCTGTGGCATCTGATGGTGGCTGAGGTTTAGGCTGGCTCAAAACTAAACCAGAGGGACTGAGCCCAGGACTGTTCCCTGCTGTTTCCCTGGCTGGGATTCCAGGCATCTCCTGGCCCCACTCGTGCTTCTCCAGCTTCTTCCCTGAGGTGAGACCCAGGATGTCACCAGAGCCCTCCTGTGCCACCGAATTCCCTGGGCCAGACCAAAAATCCTGCCTGGCCTTGCAGGGGATGGAGCAGAAAAAACGGGAGAACTCCCACAGGAGTTTTGCAGGATCCAACCCTGAACAAACAGATGAGAAAGGAATTGATGTGAAACCCACGTTAGAAATGTGGAAACATCAGAAATTCCATCGTGGATGTTCCCCACTCCTGGAACGTGAGCTCCAAGTCCTGCTGTTCACAGAATTTCCATAATCCCATGGTTTCACTGAGCCCGGGGCTGCACTGCAGCTGGGGCAGGACCCATTTTTTGGGAGCAGTTTGTGCCAGGGCAGCATTCCCCGAGTTCCAGCTGCCCTCTAGAGCCCGGCTCTGAGCGCTCCGGCTGAGCACAGCCAGCAGAGAGCAGCATCGGAGCACGAATGTGCCTCCCCTGCACAGAAAAAGAAAAAACAGAAAAAAGGAACCGCTTTTCTCCATCCCAGGATCGGCTGTGATGGGGCTGTGATAGTGCAGGGCAGGTGTGTTCTCACCTGCTTTTATTGGGAAAGGATGAGACATCCAACGGAGGGACACGGTTAATAAAAATGAATTAAAACTTGTTTTGTTTCATCAGTTTGGCTTCAGCAATGCACAGAGTAAGGCACCTGCAACTCACAGGAGAATTTTGAGGTAGTTCAGATAGGAGGGTGTTTTTCACTTCTGGGAAAAATCTTTGATTTCAGCTGGCAGAAGGATTTGGGGGCTGCCTGGGTGGGTGGCAGGTTGGGAAATGGACAGACATGGCATTCAGTGGCAGCGTTGCATTTCTATCTATTTCTATTTCTATTTCTATTTCTATTTCTATTTCTATTTCTATTATTTCTATTTCTGTATTTGTATTTATATTTAGCACCTTGTATTCCCCCCCATTCTTCCCCAGAGGATGTTTTCATGCCAATTCTTTTCCTCTAGACGGTCCCTTTCAATATGAGGCTCCCCACCAGCTGAAGACGGTTTGGGAGCAGAGTGAAACATCAACCAGGAGCACCTGCATCAACCTGGAACCACGTTTATGGGAAATCAGGCTGCTGTTGGAAACTGAAATGGATTCAGACCCCCCCCCAAAATGGCCCAAAAAAGCAGCTGTGAGGCTGCAGGGGATGGTGAGAGGAGGGGGCAAGGAAGGAATGCAAGGGGACTGATAAGGAAGGAATAATAATAAAAACCTTTTCAGGCGGGCCAGCGCTGTTTACACACAGGCAAAAAAAAACTTCCTGAGCTGGAAGTGCAGCCTTGTCCAGCCTTGTCCAGCCTTGTCCAGCCTTGTCCAGCCTTTTCCGCTGGCTCAGCACCGGCTCTGCTCCCGGCATTTCCCCCAGTCTGGCGGATTTGGAGAAATCTTTTGTTTTGCCGGAGCACTTGACTGTAACTTTATTGTCCCTGCTTGGCCGCGGGACATCCCCTGAGCTGTGAAAAGTGCACCTGAGGTCTGATGAGATCTACAGCTCCTGACACGGCGCTGATTAGATAAAGGATTTCCAGGAGGAAAGGCGGCCCCAGCCTCTATCCCACCCCCAGGCTAATCAAGAGAGCTTGCCCTGGGAAAGGAATTTGGTTTTCCTGCATCTGCTCCCCTCGCAGCCGGGCTGCCAGAGGTCAGGCTGCCCCAAAACACCAAATCAGGAGGCAGTGGCTGGGGAGTGTCCCCTGAGGAGTTCCTGGTGTGCCTGTGCCAGGGAAGCAGCGCTGGGAATTGTCAGACATCCCAGAGAGGAGAGGGGATCAGGAGAGATCCCCGTTCCCAAAGCTCCTGCCCTCAGTGCTGCTGAGCATCTCCACAGAGCTTCCCTGAGTCCCCCTGCACATTTTTGGGGCAGGAAATGTTGCAGAGTGCCCAGAGTGAGGGAGAATCCCCAACATCCCTCTCAGAATCCCAGGATCACTGAGGCTGGAGAATCCCTCCAGGATCATCGAGGCCAATCTGTGCCCAATCCCCACCCTGAGCCCTGAGTGCCACGTCCAGGTGACACCTCCAGGGATGGGCACCTCCCTGGGCAGCCCCTACCAAGGCCTGGCCACCCTTTCCATGGGGAAATTCCTGCTGCTGTCCACCCTGAGCCTCCCCTGGTGCAGCTTCCCTGCTGCCAGGTCAAACCCCAGCCCTGCACATCACTCTGGAGTCTCGTTTATTTTTCCAGGAATTAACTGGGTGCCTTAAACGTCCAAAACCAAATCAAACGAAACGAGGTGTAACAGCCTGCTGCACGTCACTCATCCTGCAGACGATTTTTTTGGGAATGTGCTCAGAGCCAGCCAGAGCCTTTAGTCATGGGGTTTGTGCTGGGAAAGAACCTCTCAGTGAGGCGTTGTCCTCCCATCCTGCTGGCAGCAGCCAGAGCCACGCATCCCACAGGGATAAACACGCTGCACTTCCAAGGACACAACGGAGAAGCTGGTTTTTAGTACTTAATTATTTTTCTTTTTCAACCGGGATTATTTACAATGAGATCTGGGAGAAGCAATTCACACCAAAGCAAACAGCCTGGAATATTTTAATTGTGTTTAAGCGACTCTTGCACCCACAAGAAGCAGCCCCAGGTGGTGATGGATGCTGCTGTCATTGCTTTGAGCACGGTACCAGAAAAAAAAAACAACCCCTTCCCCTCAGGTGTTCAGCACTGAGAGGAGGTTGGGCTGAATTCACTCGTGAGAGGGTAGATCAGCTTCAAGGGCCATTTTTGGGCTCGTTTTGGGTGTGGAGGTCGCTGCTGGTGCTGTGCTGAGCCACCAGCAGCACGGGGCTGGCACAATCAGGGCTTTGGCTCCCTAAAAATGTGCTTGGGATGGGGAACAAACCTGCCCAGGGTCCCTGGCTCCCACCGAGCTGCCGGGATGTGGCTCCAGCAGCTTTTCCCTCGGGAGCAGGACGAGCACAGAGAGGGCTCAGAGCTGCTCCTGCTCCTGGGGTTTGGAACTTCCCAAAGTGAGAGCCCTGCTCTCTGTCCATGTCCCTGCTGCTGGTGCAGAGAGAGGAGCAACCATTGCAGAGCTGGGGTTTTGTCTCCTGCTCAACCCTCTGGGAGCCCTTTGGCACCTCCCATGCCCAAATTCCTGTCCCAGGCACCCACAGAGCCCCACGGCCCTAGCCAGTGTTCTCCATCTCACTCAAGGGATAAATTGCTGGCTCTGCCTGTCACAGCCCTCAGCCCCTGGCAGGAAGAGGCTGGGGAAAGTTTTTTCCTCTTAAAAAAAACTTCAGGACACAGTCCTGGTAGGATTCAAAGAGAAAGAAGTTGACATTTCAGCCTTCAATTCCATGTGGAAAGTTTTACACAGAGCTTCAGCAAATTCTGCTGGAGTAGGAAGTAATAGGAGAGCCCCAAAGCTCAGGAAGGGGTTAAATGCCTGATGGTCTCAGAAGAGGAAGAAATCCTGCACTTAAACATAAAGATGAGATTATAAACAACTCTGTTAACCAAAACTATCTGAAACCTGAGAGGCTTTTGTCACTGCAATTCCAATTTAACTACTTTAGTCAGCCTAACATATTGCTACCAGAAATCTGGGCTGCTTGGAGTCCAACTCTGCCTCTGCTGGAAAGCTGGGGAGGGCTAAGGGCACTGGCATTTGTCCTGATGTTCTTCTAACAACAAAAGCACAGAACAGCTGCAGAAAAGTGTTCTGTGTGGTCAGAGGGGAGGAGGAGGAGGAGGAGCGGGGGGCAGAGGAGCAGCTCTAACCCTCAATGTGCTTTAGGCTGATGTTGAAGTTCTTCACAGAGACAATAATAACAATCGAGAGCGTCTGCAATTCCCTGCGTGTCTGTCCACAGAAATCTGCCCTGCCTGTCCCTCTGGTGGCTCTGGGCTGGTCACATCTCGGTGTCAGCAGGGCTGTGCTGCCGGCCCGAGTGGCCGTTCTTGGAGGACGCCTGGCCAGTCCCGTTCTCCTGGGTGGCCCCGTTGAGGCTGGGGAGGTTTGGCTTGTCCTGCAGCTCCGCTGGCTCCTGGGATGGTGTCATCAGCAGGGTGTTCCCCTGGCTGCCGTGCTCCGTGTAGTAGGGGTCTTCAGCCTGGCAGGGACACAAGGGACAGAGTCAGGGAGGGGAAAGGGCTGTGGGTTCAGGGCAGGGGCTGCCCACGGTCCCCAGGCAGAAGGGACAAACAGCCACAGCTCAGGGCGCTGCTCCTGCTGACAAGAAGGGTCCGAACCAAGAAAATCCCCCAGGAACTGCAGTTTTTCCTCCAGCGCCTGCAAGAGAAGCTGCCAAGTTTTGTTGTTTTCTCCTAACCTGGTTTTGGAGCTGACCTTGCCTCTGCCGGCCACTTTGGCCAAGAAAGAATCACCATCAAATGGAAATGTCTTTTTTTTTTCCTCCTCCCCCTTCCTCTGAAGTGCAGAGCTCGCTGCCAGGTGTGGCAGAATTTCACCTCTGCAGGGCTGGGTGCTGCTGTTGCTGCGAGGTGCAGGTGCCTCTGGAGGATCCCAGAGCTGCCTCCAGCCCCTCCCAGGAATTCCCCAGCCGTTGTGCAGCCCTGGAATTGGCAGTGGGGATCCCAGGTGGCAATTCCCAGCTGGAATTTCCTGAGTAGCTCACTCAGTCCCTTTTCCATGGCTGGGCTGGGACTGGGATTGGCACAGGCTGGCCCTGCTGCCAGCATCAGGGACATGGAGGCAGTGTCCCTGCCCCTGACACAGCATTTCCCAGCTGTGTGCTCTGAGGACATCCTTGCTGGCCAGGAAATGTCCTGATGGCCTCCCAGGACGTAGCTGCTGATGCTGGGAGTGATGGGGAAATCATGGCCTGGCCTCACTTTACTCAGGGTCACGTCCCCAGAAGTCACTGCTGGGGAGGAGTCCTCAGGGTCAGCCCTGTCTGGAAAGGGGAGAATGGAAATAGGAAATTTCTGCCTCTTTCTTTCTCGATGTGTTTTATTACCATGGCTGGTGGGGAGAAATTGCCTTTATTACAGCACGGGTACAGACACGGGGCTCACACAAGGAATGGAAATTAAAGGGCGTCACTTTCAATGACACATTCATGAGGTTTCAGTGGCTCTGGAGGGGTCTTGCTGGATGAGTTCTTACCGCTGAGCAAAAATAAGTGTTAGACCTGGAGGTGGGTGCTGGAAAGGGGCAGTGCTGCTGCAGGAGCTGAGTTGGGAAGACCAGAGGAAGATTCCCCTTTTGGAAGACCCCCTCCCTCTATCCCTGCCCCTCGCCCTGTCCCACGAGCTGGGGACACACAGGGGGGTGAGCACAGAGCCACAGGGGATGGGGATCCCCCTCTGCTGCCCCCAGCACCCCCTGGGCTCTGGGCTCCTCTCTACCTGCGGCTCTGCCACCTGTAAGCACTGACCAGCCTCTGTCCCGCGGGGCTCCAGCTGCGCCTCTTCATCAGGAAATAGCCAGCCAAGCCCAGGAAGGCCAGCAGCAGCCCAGATGTGACCAGGGCAATCAGCGTCTTCTGGGAAGGGTCCCGGTGGCTCCTCGTGTTCTCCTTTTTAAGGGATTCTATTCCAAACTGGGGAAACAAAACAACACCAAAGAGAGCCGGGAGTGGGACAAACAGGAAACGTTTGCATCTGCTGCACAGGCTTCAAACAATGCAGCTCCTCACCTCCCTGGGAGACTGCACGTAAACAGAGCTGGGCTTTGCTGCCCCGGCTCTGCCCCAGCCCTGGCAGCGCTCACAGGCTCATTCCCAGCCTGCATCTCCTGTGGCACGGCGAATTTTGTCCTCTGGAGCAAACCCCGGGGTTTAGAGCACCCAGCTGAGATCTCCCAGTGCTGCAGCTCTGCCTTTTGTACCCTGAGAAACACCTGGGGCTCAGCCCCACGAGCCAATTGCATTCCCAGGAGGAATTCAGTCATGCCAGCCTGCTCCTTTAAGGAAGCAGAGTGCCAGTTTTATCCTGAGAGTTATTGCTGGGGTCTAAGCTGTGCTGAGAAAATGCTGCAGCATTTCACTGAGCCATTCCAAGCATTTCTGCCCCCATGGGTTCTCTTGTGCTGCATCACAGCCTCACTGGTGGTTGGCTCCAAGCACAGAATCCCAGGTTTGGGTTGAAGGGACCTTAAAAATCATCCAGTGCCACTGCTGCCATGGGCAGGGACACCTTCCACTGTCCCAGGGTGGCCTTGGACACTGCCAGGGGTCTCTACCCTCCTCAGGCACCTGCAGACTGGAGGCAAGCCCGAGTCTCAGCATCTCCCCCACCTCAGCTGTCCATCTAAAGCTCTCATCCCTCCACCCGGCCAGGCACTTTTCACAGCTGAATTTGCTGAAGGGATTTACCTTTTCCCAGTGAGACTTCTGGAGCGTGTTCAGGAGTTTGTCAGGATCTGCAAGGTTTAAAACAGGAGAGCACATCACACACAGGTGACACACGAGGTGTGTACATCACACACAGGTGACACACACGAGGTGTGTGCATCACACAGGTGGCACACACAAGGTGTGTACATCACACACAGGTGACACACACGAGGTGTGAACATCACACACATGTGACACACAAGGTGTGTACATCACACACA